CTCGTGATCGCCGATGGTCACGATCTCCGCCAACTTGTTCTCTACATACATGCGATGATGATGCAACACTTAGCATTTAAGCAATAACAACTCCTAACTAAGAATACGCACACTAAGCTAATAAGCTAGCTCTAATAACTAAGGTTCTAAGCTAACTATCATTTTTATCAAGCATGGTGTTGGATTCAACTAACAAACACCTAGCTTTATAAATAAAGGATATATCTTTGTTTCTACTAATGATTTAATGTATGTTGAAACAAAGAGCATTTAACTACCCTAATGTTTAGCCTATTCTAAAGATACAAAAATTACAGTGAGCACATAATAATACCACGATGTTGATATAAAATTTTTAGGGCTAAAGTTATCACCAATTTACCGCAAAAATTCCTACAATAATTCTCCTAACAATATTAAACATTTTTAAATAATTTAATAGCTCCTGGTATCAACATGTACATATATGAACTAAATACACTAACAGATAGAGCACAATTTTAGGAACCTAACAAAATTTGTTTCATAATTTTTGGATACCTACATGATTTTATATGATTTACCAAATATCAGCTCTAAAATTAAATTAGAAAACTATTTCTAATTCCTTATGAAAAAGAAAAACGAATTCTCTCGCGTGGCCCACACGACACAGCGCGCGCGGCGGCCCGTAGATGCGGCCCACGGAAGGCCGGCCCACGGAAGGCCGGCCCACGCGGAGACAGCCCGCGTCGAGGAATCCCGCGCGCGTCGATGACTTTGTAAATGACACCTCAAACTCCTCCTAATTTACATTTAAGTACTAACACTATTTTTCCTCTCTCAAATCTTCTCACTTAACCCCCTGGCCTTTCCCTAATTCACCCGCGCGCACCCCCGGTAACTCAGTGCACGGTGGCGCGGCGAGCGGCGGCACTGAGCGCCTACGCCGGGCACCTGGGACCTACGTGGGCCCACCTAACGGGTCAATCACCATCTCTGACCCGAGTGGCTATGCTAAGCGGCGGTGCAGGGTGACACGACTAGCTAGGGAAGGCTGCAGTGGCGCGCGGTCATCCGTGATGGCGGCGCCACTATTCCGATGGGCTAGGTTACCTACAGGCCTAATTGGTTTGCGCGTGAGCATCAGAAGGCTACCCTAGACCAGGCCGAGGTTACAGTTAGGGCGGAGGATGACGGAGGAGGGCTGACAATGTGCGGCCGAGCCGTGCAGCGGCGCACCGCAATGGCACGGTCGCGTCAACGACGACGAGGAGGTGGTAGCGGTTCCACTGACGTGCGTAAGGTGGAGAGGGAGGCAAGGCGAAGCTGGTGGCACAAGTGAATTGGCTCGGGAGGGATGGTAGGAGGGCTACCCTCGTCCACAGCCGGACGTAGGCTTATCAGCACGGCGGCGAGCAAAACTCCAAATTGGAGCTTGGCCGTGCACGGTTCAAGACTGGGTAGGGTCGGGCAGCAAGAGGACATGATGGTGAAGCCATGGGTACGATGGATTGAATGGAGGTGATCGTTCGCTGGGTAAATTGGATGGCGCGGCTCATGGCGACCGTAGAGGGAGAAAGAGAGAAAGAGAGACGGGGCGCGGCAGGTGGGCTCGGCTCATCCTCGCCTGGGTGGGACGTGAGCGGCGCGATCAGGACGCACACGCGTAGATGCTACGGACAAGGTGTGCGCGCGTCCACGACCGACATGGCACGAGCGACAACCGCACCTTAATGGGCGAGGCTACATCAGGTACGGCCATGTGCCGATGCCGCGGATACGCCAAGCGCGCAGCAGAAGCAAGAGAGGGCTGGCGCGGAATGCGGCGGGCGGTGCGGGCCGCAGCGGGTGCGAACGACGGCGAGGCGATGGCAAAGACGTGGCGGCCGTGGCGACACCAATGGCGGCGGCGAGGCGAGGCGGCAGCAGGCGCTGGGGCGGGGCGTCGGCTCGGCGGCGGGCGGCCTCGTCCAAGCCCAGGCAGCCCGACCGACCCAGCGTGGCGGCACGGGGTTACCGCGCGGGACGCGGCCATGTGCGTGGCGCGAGGTGGCCGCGCAAGCACGACGCCAACCATCCTGAGGCTGTGTCGTGCACAAATTTTAAAGCGCCCAAAATGACTAAATGGTTGATGAGCCAAACCATCTTCACCATACTCAAAATGACATATGAGACTACCAAATCGAGCTATAACACTACACCACCCCTTAACCCAATCTCTCAAAATAATTTGCTAAACATAGCAATGTCTAGCTGTTGACAGACTTAGAAATTTTCTAAGTTTTTGAGCCGAACTTGATTTCAATTTGCAACTTCTAGGCTAGTAAAAATATTAGTTAGTAATATCATTTTTTGACAACTAGTATTTTACTGTCATCTACAAAGTTTGTACTTCAAACTTTATTTAAGTATCACACATATGTTCTATAGTATTTTTGCTTAATAAAAATTAGTTTTAAACCCTACTTGATATACCTGAACCATTGAATCAACTTTCATTTAACATTTTTATTGATCATTTTAAGTTACAAGAAATTTATCTACACATTCTATTACATATATTAACACATAAATATGATGTTCATGACATATTTTTTTAAATGATTTAGGGTGTAACACCGAGGGTGTTACAGAGCAGAAACTATGGCTCTCCTCATCCCTGGAGTAGGGTCTGAGAAGAGAATTTGGGGTATTGTACTTTTGATTTTGTACCCCCAAATTCTTAAAAATAGAGTAAGAGATCGATTAGGAGACTTGCTAGAGTAGGAGCTTGAATATGGTAGTTAGCTCCTATCTGCAGCCTGCAAGCTGACTACGTGATAACGTGAACAAGCGGGTAGTGCGAGAATCACTGTGAAACAGTCAAAACAGATGGCTGCTTCCTCGAAAGTAACACATCAGTACATCACTTCGCGTGACTGCGTGAGGAGCTGAACAAAAAAAATTACTCTGCGCCCAGCTCTCTGTTTCCTTGGACGAAACAGTGCTCATTGTCCCCGTATTTGACTTCGAATTTTTCCTGCATTTCTTAGTGGTGGCCCTGACGACAACTGCAGTCTGCAGAGCACCACAACACATATCTGAAAAGTGTAGGCGTTGACCTCACAGGTCTTGAACTGCTGCACCATTTTGCATCAGCTGGTATATATTGATCGAATAATCTTCAGCTATGTCCGTTTCTGATCTGTTGGCACATACTCCTAGCTAAGATGATCGTGATCTGAGCCACATCGAGGCGTTGATTAACAAAAGGGGATTTACAGTCACTGACTTCTCCACGAGTCAACTTTCAGGATCACTTGGTTCGCAGAAAGTAAACTAATCTTCTCTCGGCAGTAATGTATTTGTATTAGAGTTGACTTTGACTCAAACCCCAGTTTCATTTTGGGAGCCGTTTGGAGCCGGTTTCTGCAAAACGGGTAAAGTGAAATGATTTCACTGGTGAAACTCCTAAAAACATGCTCTCACAGATATTTAGGGTGGGATGGAGCAAAAAAAAATATCTTCTCCCGGCTCCTCCTTACCCCTAAAAACATGCTCTCACAGGAAAACCGTTTTACCAAACGGTTTACCAAAACGTCTTCAACTCCACTAGTGGAGTTGTTCGTGGAGCTGAAACAAAAAAAAAAGACTTTACTAATGAAGTGAAGCCCTGCCAAATGGGGCCTTAATCTTTTACCGGTCTTTGGCTCCCTTTGCCTACAAGAAATGGCTCAAACTCATAAACTTATATAATCTTGTACCATAGTAATATGCAATTGTAGTAAAAGGAAAAGATTTAAATAATAGCACACGATCTGACAAACATCGTCGAGAGGCCAAAACCATTTGCGCTCTTTTTAGTTTTTACAATCAAGAATTAGAGTGCATAAGAAAAGATTAAAAAAATGTATCTGGAAGATCATGGGAAAAAAACCCACATCCAATGCAGCTATAGGATGACCAGCATCAGCAGTCAGCACAAGACTTGAGCACTTACGCCATATTCGTTTGGACTTATTTGGCTTATAAGCCGTATTTTTTCAGCCAACGAATAATATTTTTCTCTTACACCAAATCAGCCAACAGTACTTTCAGCCATGACTTATCAGTCAAACAAGCCCAAACGAACGGGGCGCAGTTATTTCTACCAACAAAGCATGAAGCACACGAACGACCGAGTTGGGATAGACGACAGAGTGCGAGTAGCATACAAGTGTTCTACAGTTCGATAGGCACGCACAAACCATTTCTTCTTGCATGCATGCGGCCATGTTACCACGCACGTTCTCCATATTCACATCTTACTTCCTGAGAGCAGCTCTAGTGGCGTAGCAAAATCAAACTCGAGAACATTGTGGCTGCCGAACCATACATGTCAGAACGAAAATTGGATGCTCCAGACGCGCCGAACCGAGAATTCAGTCGCGGATGAATAAGAGAAACCAGTCGTACGAAGAAGTGCAAACGCGCTTACGCGTGGGCAAAGAAACGCTATTTTATTTGTACACATGGTGAGTGGGGGAGCTACCCTGATGAGTAACAATTTTTCTTTCTAAATTTGATTAACCTTATGGGAAAAAAATTATCAACATTTTTGTATCTGTATCTCTATAAATGAATCTAGCTATTATGTAAATATACGCCACAATTAGTATTATTAATATTTATTATGCATCATATAAATATTAATGCTTCTTGTTATGTATTTGGACAGGGGGAAGGCGCCCTAAGTAGGCGCGTGTTGGATGGTGCCAGACTGCTGGAGTGACGTTCAGCATATGCGTTGTCAATGACACAAGGCAACAACCTCCAACCAACATCGCAGAATGAACACTATCAGGCCGGCGAACACACCATATTTCGGTCGTGAGAACAACATGACGCATGCATACAACAGTCGAACACACCACATTATTTCCGGCCTCGACATCCAAAACTAGCAAGCCACAAGCTGGAGTAGCTGAGGCATGCATGGAGACACACTGTGACGACGGCATGCATGGAGACATGCACCGTGACGGCGGCCGCTTAGCTAGCTAGGCCTGCTGGGACCTGGGGACGGCCTTGCACACCAGCAGCGTGCCCATCTCCAGCGACATGTTGAGGCGCTCCGACAGGTGGACGCCACCGCCGCCGCCGCCGGCCGCCGCAGGGGCCCACTCGAACCTGTGTAGCAGCTGAGCGACCCAGAGGTGGGTGGTGGCGAGGGCGAGCATCTTGCCGGGGCAGACACGGCGGCCGGCGCCGAAGGGGGCCAGGCGGAGGTCGCTACCGAGGACGCTCACGTCCTCCTCCTGGAACCGCTCGGGGCGGAACTCCTCCGGCTCGGCCCAGATGGCGGGGTCGTGCGCGATCGCCCACATGTTCACCATGGCCGTGGTGCCCGCGGGGACCAGGTGGCCGCCGACGTGCGCGCCGTGGATGGCCAGCCGCGCCCACGACAGGAGCGGGCCCGGTGGGTGCATCCGCAGCGTCTCCTTCACGATGCTCTGCACGTAGGGGAGGTTCGCCACGTCGGCGTCGGCGAGGCTGCGAGTGCCCACGACGGCGTCTAGCTCGGACTGCGCCTTGGCTTGGATGTCCGGGTGCAGCGCCATCCTCGCCATGATCCACTCCATCAAGATTGCCACGGTGTCCGCGCCTCTGAAGATCATCTCCTGATCAAACACAAAAACAAACCATTTTTGCATGAACGTGAAATTTAACATACATGTGAATGAACATGCAAACTAGACGCTATATCGATCTTACCCAAAGAACAGCGATCATGTCTGAATCTGACAGCTTGTCCTCTCCCTCGAGGTCAAGAAGGACATCGACGAAGTCGGCCATGAACTCATCCTCGTCGACTCCTCCATTCTCGCGCCTCGCCCTGTGCTCCTGAATGATGTTGCCGACGAACACCTCAACCTTCTGGACCAACCTGTTGCACCGGCGGCGCACGCCCTGGAGGTCGAGGAACTTGATCAATGGCAGGTGGTCAGCCCAGTTGAAGGTGCCCAGGAGGTCATAGCCCTCGGTGACCATCTCGTCGAGAAGCGCGCCCTCTGGGCTAGCCAGGTCGTAGCGCCTGCCGAAGACGGTGGCCATGATGTGGTTGAGCGACGCGGCGTGCAGCACGCGCCTCAGGGAGACCTCGCCGTGGCGCGCCATGTCGGCTGCGACGTCAGAGAGCATGGCCTCGCCGATGGAGACGCGGTGGTGCGCGGCGCCCGCGACGCGGCGCGGGCCGAAGAGGTGCGCGGCTGCGAGGCGGCGGAGCCCGCGCCAGTGCGCGTCGCCCGACGGGGCGAAGCCCATGGCGCGGTGGAACAGCAGGTGCCGCGCCGCGTCCTTGACGGGGCGGTCGCCGAATGCGGGGCTGGCGAGGATCTCGCGCGCCGTGTCGGGATGGCTCGACACCACGAGGCGGGTCAGCCCGACCGAGAACGCCATCAGCGCCTTGCCGCCGTCTGCGGCGCTGGACAGCGCCGCCAGCGTGCGGTGCGCCACGGGGCTGGAGAGCGCGGTGACCACGCCTGCCGGGCCCGATGGCGGGCGCCGGGTGCGGGAGAGCGCCCACGCGGGGCCGCCGGGGGAGAGCCATAGGAGGACGGCGGCTAGGAGGAAGACGGCCAGCAGGGGCGGGAGTGGGGAGGTGGTTGGGAGGAGGAGCAGGAGGAGCGAGTCCTCTTGGCCGGAGGCCATGGTGAGCACCATGGCTGATGACGCGTAGTGATGGGTGATCGTCTGATCGATGAGGGGTTTTTGGTTGGAGTGGAGGTGCTGTGCGCTGTGGAAAATGCTGAGAAGGAGGGGGAGCCTTTAAATAGGGAGAGAGTCACTGCATTGAAAATGAAATGCTGAATTTGATTTGGCAACTGTCACGCCAAATAATTTACTGAATTCCGTTTAATAAATTGCATACTGTATTTGGTAGTAACTAATAACTGCATTATAGGAGTTTAATCATCGAGAGCCTGACAGCCTGCGTTGTTTAAACAATACTACTAATAACGCATTTAAATTAGCGTGATATAAATGCCTTGATTTTTCCTCCGGGTGAAAAGAGAGATCCTATTTAGTCTAGCATTTAAGAAACTACAAATGGTACGGAACAAATTAAGACCAGGGCGGAAGGCAAGCGCAATAACAAAACCTGCAGATTTTTCTACTAAAAATCATGCACACATGTATAGAACTATATATCTGCATGCGTTTTACAAACAACAGTCAGAATCAGAAGACGGGCATCTTGAGTTCTTGACAGTTGACACCGTCGGACGTCGGTGCACATGTTGGGCATGGCGAGCGCGATGAGCTCCTTCTCCTCCGTGTCCACAGTCCACGCACCGGTACACTTGGAACAGCTGCGCCTCGCCGTCCGCGTCGCGGTTGCACTCCAGGCCGGTTCGCCGTGAACCCGGTCTCTCCTGTGCGATGGCGTCACTGACGCTAACGTCTCGGTGTACGACGGCATAATCCCGGCGTCCGCGAGGATCGCGACCAGCTGGGTCGTCGTGCCTCGCCTTGAGCGCGAGCGCGAAGTACTCGTCCAGCTGCTCCATGTTGGAGCAACTGCCATGCTTGATGCTTCTTCTGCCACTCGTACCAACAGAACTTGCCCGCCGCCCCACGATGGAGAGGAAGGCGTACGTCGTCGCCGAGCACTGCACGGGCAAGGCCCTGGCGGCCACGGCATGGCGTAGATGGGCCACGTACAGCCCGTGGATGCCAAAGTCCGCTGCGGGCTTGCCCGTGGCCGGGAAGGACGTGCACCCGAAGGGGACGAGCGCGGGAGAGGGGCGCGTGCAGCAGATGGGGAGCGCGGGGAGGGAGGAGCGAGCCTGGATGGCGAGAGACGGCACTCGCCTTTTCCTCCGAGCGAAACTTGTGGGATACAGGATGGGGAGCACTATAGAAAGGGATAGAGAGGATGTTGGAGACGTTTTCTTATCCCTAAATAGCAATATTGGATCACAGAGAGATTTAGAACATCTCTTGGAGATGCTCTAAGAACTTTCGCTATTACATATGTACATGTTTTCTTAAGTAATTAAAACCAACACAAATCAAGCTGGGAATCTTAAAACTATCAATCAAAACAAGGAAATGTGCATCAACATATATTCCATGCTGAAAAATAATGAAAATGCTTACATTTATTTGTTAATATCGGTACAAATAGTAAATAGTAACAAAATAATGTAGATTTAACCGGAAGCAATATCTAAGCCGGGTGTCGTACGAGTAGAAGTGCAAGGGGGATCCCCTAGTTGAGGGGAGGAAAAAGAGGAGACGGAAATGGTGCCCCTAACCGTGGTGGAGGAAGTGGAGGACTAGAAGGTGCAGCGCCCTTTCGAGGGGGTGGGAGAATAGGAGTGCAAGGGGGCTGGACAAGAGGAGACGGAAGAGGTACCCCTAACCGTGGTGCAGGAATTAGAGGAGTGGAAGGTGGGATGCCCATCCGAGGGGGAGGAATAATAGGAGACGGAATGGGTGCCTTAGACAGCGGGGTAGGAGGTGGAGTGAGCTTTCGACGGGGAGGAGGTACAGGAGCACGAGGTCGAGGAAGAAGAGGGGACGGGAGGGGTGCCCCTAATCTTGGTGTAGGAAGTGGAGGAGTGGAAGGTGGAGCACCCTTCCGACGGGGAGGAAGTACAGGAGCACGAGCTGGAGGAGGGCACGGGAGGGGTTTCCCTAATTGCGGTGTAGGAAGTGAAGGAGTGGAAGGTGGAGCGCCCTTCCAACGGGGAGGAAGTACAGGAGCATGAGCTGGAGGAGGGCACGGGAGAGGTTTCCCTAATTGTGGTGTAGGAAGCGGAGGAGACGAAGGTGGAGCGCCCTTCCGACGGGGAGGAAGTACAGGAGCACGAGTTGGAGGAAGAGGAGAGGACGGGAGGGGTGCCCCTAACTGTGGTGCTAGAAGTGGAGTAGAAGGTGGAACACCCTTCCGAGGGGGAGGAAGAATAGGACCACGGGAGGGAGCCCCCAACCGAGGAGTAGGAGGAACAGGGGTAGGAAGAGGTGCTCCCAACTGCGGGGGACGAACAGGAGATGTGGGAGGTGGAGCACCTACCTGAGGAGAAGGAAGAATAGGACTACGAGGGGGTGCTCCTAGCCGTGGAGGAACACGAGCTGGAGAAGGTGCCCCCAACCATGGACGAGGAAGAGGAGTTAAAGGCGGAGTGCCTATCCGAGGGGAAGGAAGAAGAGGAGTGCGAGCAGGGGCCCCAAGACCCGGAGGACGAGGAGTCGGAGAGGGTGCACGTAGCCATGGAAGAGGTAGAGGAGTGGGAGGTGGAGCTATGACAACACCGGTTGTGATAATGTTGCGAGCAAGGACGAGTAATACAGTGATCAAGAGGTGTCCTAGCAATGAAAGGGTAGTGCACGCCATGCTTTTGGAAAGAGAAGTTAGGCATGTGGTGTGCGATGTCGGGAACACATTACGATAAATATATAGTGTTGGTCACCTCATATCCACCAAGTAACTTCGTCGTCTAAATGGGAGTCAGACCCGTGCATGCAAGGCCAAATAGGAGACCCACATCCTTGTCCATGAAAATCTCACAACTGAGTAGTGATGCGAAACATCCGGTCCTCACCATAGGTACTACTATAAATATATAGCGTTGTTCGCCTCAGGTCCACCAAGTGACTTCATCGTCTAAATGACAGTCGGATCCGTGCATGCAAGACCAAACAAGAGACCCAGATCCATATCCATGGAAATCTCACAACCGGGCAGTGATGCGAAACATCCGGTCGTGACCATAGGTTGAGACCAATGCTAGGTGCCAATATATACTCCAATTGTCTTAAAATAAACCAATTCTTCCATATAGAAGACAATTCTATATATCGAATTAGATAATGAATTTAACTTATTAGGAATAAAAAAATTACATATACATTATCATGGGCCATCCGATTCGACCTGACCCAAGTGGGGGCCTTATTCGCCTAGTAGTGTCTTGAGTCTATAAAAGTGAAAACCATACCACCATGGTGACTGTCGCTGTAGATCTTCATTAAACTTGTACTAATGTCTAGAAAAATCACAATAACTTACAATTTAGCCATTTAGGATGGAGGGAGTACTACATGCGTACATGGTACCACGCTGGGTTTGTGACTGCACTCGCCAACCGGCAAATGGCTTTAATTTGCAGCCGCCGGATCATCTATCAGCGCATGCTTGCAAGCAGTCTGACAAGTAAGCATTTTTCATCTGGACCTGGGCTACTGCTTCACAATCAATCATGACTGGACTGAGCAATGCGCGTGGTGCGCGCAGTAGTCGCTGACGCTCCCCAGCAGCGCCTCCGGACGGCGCCGTAGCCCATGGCTGACCACCACCAGCAGCAGGTCCGCGCGGCGCTTCTCCGCCGCGCTGCACAGCACGTACCTGGACTCGCCTTCCACCGGACGCCTCGATCAGGGCGTGGTGCACCGAGTTGGCGAGGCAGACGCGGCGCGCCCTGTCGACGCGACGACAGCCTCGGCCATCTTGCGCAGGTCGGCGTCCACGTACCTGATGGGCTCGCCGGCTTGACCGATCGAGCACACATACCATGCAACAGAGGAAGGTACGTAGTTAAGGTGACGAGAAGACTAGAAGAGGAGAGGAGGAAGATGACGACGTACGGAGATCATATATATCGGCGGCGATATGCGTTTTCAGTAGTTGTGTCCGGCCTGTAAATACTTGTAACTCTCTTCTTTTATTTTATACCGTCTATTAAAAATTGTGGCAAAGCTTTTGTTGTTTTTTCTAACTTTTTTTTAAATTCGAGGGATTAAAATAATATTTAAATATGTATTTTTTTAGAAATAATTTTACAATTAAAACATTATTTTCGATGTCAGCATAAATATTTATGATGACAACAATATTTTTTGTAAAAAGAAAGATATAAAAACTCCACTTGGGGAAGGTTGGTAGGGACCTTTGTGCGATTAGCTAGCTATAGACAAGACGGCGTAGCAGATTGCACCGTAACGTGTCCATGGACATCTAAGTCTCACAGTCAAGTAGTACTACAATTTTGCAAAGCTGTGCAAGCGTTTTTTTTTTCTTTCCTGATTCCCTGAAGATGGTCGGTGGTGGTGCGATTGTCTTATAAAGCCTTTGCCCATGCCACCAGGCTAGATGCAGAAGCTTTGGTTTGTGGCGAGGTGCCTTATTATTGCATCTTTCATTGATACTAAACATCCTTTTATATATGCAGTTAAACTTAATATTAACTAACTTGTCTAAAAGGAAGATGTGTATTATTTTTTGGGACCGACAAAATAAGCAGATCACCACTGAATGGATCATTAGTATATGTACTCCCTCGGTCCCAAAAAAGAGTGACGTTTTTTACTTTCAGACATCATGTTTGATCGTTCATCTTATTCAAAAATCTTGTATAAATTATAAAATAAATAAATCATTATTAAAGTATCTCTAATGATAAAATAAGTCATAACAAAATAGATGATATTTATATATAAAATTTGAATAAGACGAATGGTCAAATAAGTAAAAAACGACGCTCTTTTTTTTTGGATGGAGGGAGTATATCGTGTAAACATTGCCCATTCTTTGATATCGACTAGTCACACGATGCTAGTCTCGTCAGCATCCTACTTCAACATTATTTTTCAGCGAACAAACAATATTTTTCTCTTACAACAAATCAGTATAAGCATCAGCGTAAGCCAAATTTCAGCAAAACTAATTTGTTTCCTCGGTACGAAACGATTATTCCAAATGCGCACAAGGCAAAGTCCGGCCAGATAGTATACAGCAATAATATAATACTGCCGGTCCGGTCTTGGTCCTCGATTCATTCATGCATGGTCTACGATCGCGTGTATAATCGAAGAAGGCGGCACTCAACTTTCAGCCTGCTCGGGAGGCCGTATCGTATCGTGGATTATTTACTGCCGGCTGGTTTGGTGTGAGAGAAAAGTACTGTTTCTGACTGGAAATTTACGATCATTTACGAGCAAGCGAACAAGTTGTTTGCCTTTTTTTTTAGGCGGCAGCGGCGACGACGACGATGAATGTAATGGCGTGTGGACGACGATCAACGCATGGCTTCGTGGGGTTTACTCGGAATTAACGTAACTCTGCTTCTGCCCCCAAGAGGAAAGATGTTTGTAGACAAGATAAATAAGCAATCCCGGTTGGGAGGCATCCCAAAAGCAAAAGCTCTTGAGGAAAGAGAAATGAGGATATACACACACCACTGAACGTGCGGGTTCCGTTTTGGCATGCAAAGCCGCTCGCACACGCACCATGAGACAGGGGAAACCAAACAGGGAAAGCAAGGCTTCCCGACACGAAACGAACGGCTGGCGCACGCGACGCGAGTGGAGTCCCCTTTCGAATCCCAAAATGAAATCCCACTGTCCGGCTAACGGTCCACGACCCGTCTCTCACTCCACCTGGCCACCCCCACGTGTCGGCCGGCCCCACGGTGCAATGCAATGCAATCCTTTCGCTCTCCTCTCCTCTGCTAAGATCGATCGACAAAAGTTATAAAAGCTCGGCCTGTGTGTTGGTTGATTGTTGTTGCCTTTGCCTTTGCCTCCACCTCCACCTCCACCTCCACTCCGTGACTCCATCCAATCACTCGGCTTTTTAGCTTGGCCTTTCTTCCTACTTTCGCCATATCCCATCCTGGCCGCGCCCCGCGTGACCCGTTTCTTCTTGCGGCGGCCGTAGCTCGCTTCCACCACACCATCCCAGCCGAGCCGCCGCGCCAGCCATGAAGTTCGGCAAGAAGTACGAGGCGCACATGAGGGCCATGGAGGCGGAGCTCCCCGCCGTTGGGATCAAGCGCCTCAAGAAGATGCTCAAGACATGCCGCCGCTCGCCTTCTTCAACTTCCGCCGCCGCAGCGGCCGAGGCCGCCAGCAGTGACCGCCGGTGCACTGGCCATTGCACTGGTAAAACCATAGCAACTCTCTCTTTCTCTCTATAGCCTTTGCTTGCTGTTCGTGAATCGTGATTTCCGTTCTTCCTTTCGTCCAAATTCAATTTCGATCGATTGCTTTCGTTAAGCAGCAAAGCCCCGCTTTAAACAAATACAAATACAAAAAAAAAAAAAATCTTGGCTTGGCTTCAGTAAAAGGACAAGATATCTTCAATTGCGCATGCAGGATCACAATTCCTTGTCCAGGTGGCAGCATTACTTTTCGCTTGGCTTGGCAAATTTGGCACGCTGCTTGCAGGTTAATTTGGGCCGCTTGGCAAATTTGGCACGGAACACGTCCCCCCTGGTTTTGGTCTCTTGTCTTGATCGACAAAGTCCATCCTTGTCAACGGTCCAGTTTATTAGCCGCCTAGGTCGTATAACTGTTAAATAACTCCATTTCTTGGTAAACGGTGTCCGTCTGCAACCATTGGCCGCCTAGGTCGTCGTGCCTGTTAAACAAATTTCAAGTGCTTATTACACTCTTTTCCTTCCACACTGCACAGGTGTTGAGCATGATGACATTTGTATATTGCCCCCATAACATATATATACGCATTGTTTTTTAGTTTTGGCTTTAGCAACGAGTTCAACTACGCATCGTTCTAACAACAATGACTTGACTTGTTTCATCTGATTTTTGGACGACTTTGGTAAGGCTTCAATGCCCCCAAAAACGTAGAACTATTCACTAGAGTTGACATGCATGATGACCATCTTTTGTGTATATTGCCTGTCATGGACTCACGGATGGTTCGCTAACGAATTAGTAATAACTCCATATATATATGCAGTGTGTGATGGGAGTTTCTTTCCATCTCTTCTGAACGAGATGTCAGCTGTGGTCGGCTGCTTCAACGAGAAAGCCAAGAAGCTACTCGAAAAGCACCTGGCGTCAGGCTTAAAGAAATACACCATGTGGTTCACCAACAAGGGTGACAAGAGCCACGGGAGGTTGATACGGCAAGGCAAAGACTTGGTTACCTATGCGATTATAAACGCCGTGGCCATGAGGAAGATTCTCAAGAAGTATGACAAGGCATGGCCTTCATCTTGACCTCCCTGACTTTTCATTTATCGAATAATACTCCTACTACCTGAGAAACCAGTGTAGCACTTTGATTCTTCTTAGAACCCTTTGGAACATACGAATTTTACAGGGATCAGTTTTATTTGTTACCATGATACATTCACTATATGTTTCAGCTGGATTACAACAAAATTTCAGTAACTGGATAGGAGCTAACTAAATCCATCAATCAAATGCATATCTATATTTGCATTTCAGATTATAATAATAACTTGACACGAATAGGTAATCACAGAGAATTTATGAAAACCAACTCTTTTGCAGATACATTACTCAAAGCAAGGGCAAGAGTTCAAATCTCAAGCTCAGAGCCTCCACATTGAGATACTTCAGTCCCCATGGCTCTGTGAGCTGATGGCATTCTACATGAACTTGAGGAGGAGCAAGAAGAACAATGCTGCAATGGAGCTCTTTGGCGACTGTTCCCTCGTATTCGATGATGACAGACCAACGCTCTCATGCCACCTCTTTGACTCCATGCGTGTTGATATTAGCTTGACATGTTCCATATGCTTGGTGAGTTGCACTTCTGACAATTACATTACAGTGCTATTTTGCCCTGTAAACTTGGATTAAGAGAACAGTATATCCTTGTTATGTTATTCAAGATTCCGAGGTTCCCCGTCCTCTCTATTTAAAATCCATAATCAAACTCTTCATTTTTCATATTTTTATTTACAGGACACAGTTTTTGATCCAGTCTCTCTTTCCTGTGGTCACATATTCTGCTATTTATGTTGCTGTTCTGCTGCATCTGTGACAATTGTTGATGGGCTGAAGTCTGCAGATCACAAATCAAAATGTCCCCTATGCCGACAGGTAAACAATTTATCACTTATTATTTCAATGAGCAAATACTTGAGCATCATCTAACCAACCATTCTTTTCTGCCTGTTTCAGCAAAGTGTCTTTCCTGACGCTATGCACCTGGATGAACTCAACATGCTGTTGAGCCATAGGTAAGTACAAGACCTTAAAGCTTTCTAGGATCATGTTATGTACTACTAGTGTGTTGATGAATTATCAATCTCTCAACAGTTGTCCAGAGTACTGGGAGAAAAGAATGCAATTGGAGCGGGTTGAACGTGTTCGCCTGGCTAAGGAGCATTGGGAGTCACAGTGCAGAGCATTTTTAGGCATCTAAATAGTCAGCTTCTACTGGTGGAAAGATGATTCGATTTGTTAAGATTGTTGTTGGTTAGATCTTGCTTTGTCACAAGTTTTGGTGACAGAAAGTGATCTACCCTCTATTAACATTCAATGTTCTGTCTTGTGCTCCTACCTGCTAGAGAAAGAGAGAAAATGTAGTGGTGGTTGGTTGTTCAAGTGCATACTTGCAAATGTGTACATATGTGGCCCTCTCAGTACAGCTTTATGATTTTAGCTTGAAAAGTTTGAAGTTGTTCCGATATGCTTCCTTTGACTACAGAGTATCTTACATATTTTTTTCTGGACCGGTTTAAGCCCATAACGACTGAATGCTTATATAGGTCGCGAAACCCATGGAACAAGATTCACAATTGTTTATCCATGCGCAACCAAAAACTTCCCAAATACATAAAACGCTAAAGAAGATTCAAACTGGAGTAATGCAATCACTAGCTTTAGTTTTCACAACATATGTAATGTTTATTCCAAGAACTGAACAAAACAAAACGAAGTGTCAGTTCCTTGTACTAACTTTAGTTAGTTCCAATGCAATTACATAGGTGTGACCATTTTGTCGAACTACTTCTGAACTACTACATTTTCTGTAACCATGCATTGTTTTACCTTTACCTCTCTTTTCCCTTTTCCCTAACAAAAGCAGGTCCTAAAAAATACATACCTACAAAGGTGTGGTGACATGGACTTGAATTCACACCAACAGCCTAGAATCACATCTCTACTGTTTGAAAAGAAATACCTGACTTGAGAAAATGTCAAAGAATGGTGGCCATGAAACGGTCATTCTTCAGTCAGCTCTTAATGTCATGATCTCTTTTGCTGTTCGGTTCCTAAAATACATCATGTGTTCCTGCAAACAACATTAAGACAAACATCAACCTAAACAAAAACTTCTTAATACGTAACACCACAGTGTATGATTGTACTCCAACATCAGAAGTTAAGCTTCATATCAGCAAGTTAAAGTTCTTTTTAAAGTATGACAAAACTCAAGCCCTCAATCTAAGTATATCTACAGATATGTACGTATGTTTTTCACCGGTCAACTTTACCTGACTGAAACATGGTTTGATACCTCTGCTATGGAAATCAATGTATTTAAGCATAAACATGCCACAGTCCCACCTATAAGAAGAGAATAGCGTCAGATAGCCATGCTTGCCCATTAATGTGCACCACATGAATTCAAAATAAAAAACAGTTGGATGTTGAAAATCCAGTAACCCGTTGACTGGAATTTAATAAAAGGGCGTACCCAGTGCAGAGAGCTCCCGCTCTGTGTGGGGTCTGGGGAAGGGTGTTAGTGGCAAGCCTTAACCTCGCCTGTGCAATGCGAGGAGACCGCGACTCGAACCCGGGACCTTCCGGTCACAGGCGGTAAGACTCTACCGCTTGCACCAGGCCCGCCCTTCGTTGACTGGAATTTAATACTTTATATATATTCCTTTCTTAATCAAACCAATCAGCATCCACATGCTGAATTTTGTGGTGATTAGTACTAGAAGAAAGGTTACCCATTCTGCTGCAAGGGGAGAGACTCTGACACTACCACCCATGAACTAGGGTCTACCTCTAAGTTACTCTTGTCCTTCAATTCATCCGCGATGTACCTAGTCTGCCACAAACAGAAAATGTAACTGTAGAGCTTCAATCCAACACTAGAAATCTTGGAGGCCCTTTAATTTTGTGTTGGGTCCTTTTATGAAGAACAATGTACATCGTAAAAGAAAGACATATACAATTATTACATCAATAATTTGCAAAGGCAACCCCATGCATTTCAGGCACTCTAGTCTAAGAAAGTAAGAATAGTGTAACTTTCTGTTTGGTCAGATAAGCTTACCAGTACTTTCAGTACATCATGGCCCAAACCTCCAAGAGAATCAAGGTATTGCAATGTTTTATCCTTCATGTTTATAACTACCAAACACCAATGTACATTTCTATGCACTGGAACAAATATCTGTAACATAAATTCTGACGGTAAGTTGGATGTGGGTAATAAGCATGAAACGGAGACAAGTCCAATAATAGGAAAAGGACAAAATAGCAATTTACTTTCTCACACTCGACGAGTCCATAACCCAACCTCTTGAACGTCGTCCATCTTCTAACAGACTGGTAATCATAACCAGCTATTCCGCAAGTAAGCTGAGAAATAATTCAGAAGTCATGAGCCCTGCTAGTGCTGGGTGGTAGTCATATGCTAGAACATGTGAGAAAAATTAACTTGTAACTTAAAGGAAGAGTTAACCTCCACCAAAATGCAGGTGTTCTAACTAGGCTCAGAGGAATGCTAAGATACAATACAAGAATGTTACGAAATTATTATCCTTGCTTGTAAACTAGGTGTTAAAAAAGTAAGTGAATTTAGAGCCTAAAAGAGGAACGATGACACTAATTCATCAATATTAGCTTCTGAGAACTCCAGAAGAACAAGAAAATTGTTCAATTTAGCATAAGAAGACGAAACACATGCATTGCTTGGCATTCCAGGCAACGGTCTGGAATAACACTATGTGCATTAATTAACATGACAAGAGGCCATGTATTATATAGGAGATGCTTGTTCATAAGTAATTGTACGATCTTGTATGCTTTTGCTTCCTATGCGGTATAAGACCATAAGTCTTAAATATAATAATAATAATAATAATAATAGAACCAGCATTTCAAAGGACATTTATGCATGCAGTATGTGAAGCGAAAATCCAATACCTTCTTGTAGAAGAATGTATTGAAGAAATGGCATTTCAAAAACATGTTGTGTTCCCTTTCTTCCCTCTCCTTTAACAGTTCAATGTACAAATTAATAACCTGTAAGCAGCGAAAAACACAATGTTAGAGATAGCACTAGGGATCCTAGCATCACATATTTTTGCTGAGTGATTATTAAAGATCTTTTGCAGAATTATCTCAGATGAAAAAAGGAATACTCAATATATTTACCTCATCATTCAACCACCCACGAGGCCTCAAACATCGAAGTTTCTCATTAGTAATCTCAATGTTAGAAGGCTCATGTATCACTATGACTTTATCACTACAAAAATAAGAGAAACCAGAATATCATTTGGTTGTGCCAGCAATATGAAGAAAAAAGTTCCATAACATGAGCATATGCTAAGTATACCTGTGATTCCTATTATACAACAGAGTATCAACTTCTCTTTCTTCTTTGTCACTTAGAGGTGTAAATAGTTCAGATAGATCCTGCAATAATCAAGTTTCAAAGTATATTATACATATGAAAAGTTGTTATAACAATTCAAACAACAGAAAACCAATAAGCCAGTGTACTAATTTACTCCCTCAGTTTTTAAATATTTTTTTAGAGAAAAGGGAGTACCCCCGCTTTTGTATTACAAAAGCAAAACATTCACAGTGCATAAGCGTATCGGCGCGCCCGCCAACAAGGCCTTAAGCCTGGGTCTGGCATAGAACATCACAGTTAACGCTACTGACACTAACACTCAGAAGCCCTTCAGGCCAACCCAAAACTGCATCTGTTGAGACCAAACACTGAGCACCCAATTGCTTCGACTGTGATGACGAGCCCGTCACATCCTCCGTCTTCTAATTAGTATATACTTAAAAACAGAGAGAGCATGTATTATACTATACTAATTAAATGTAACAAAGCAAAGCACCTTTGGGGAAAATGATTTAATTTTTGCATTAGTGTGCGTACAGAAAATTTAGGCTTTAGAGAAAATTGCTACACCAGTTCTGTTTCAAAAGCTCACAATTAGCCATTTTCGATAGGTGCTGTATTTCACAGAACTAAAGTTCCGAAAACACCAACACATTACCCATTTTTTACTATTCAAATAAAAAAATAAAAGGCCATGTATACATTGTTCAGTAAACTCCATGAGAATTAAGATTAAAATGGTAACCTCCTTGGGTGTAGTGTCCAGAGGATCAGGCAGCTCGGCAAGTCTGAGCTTCTCACGTAATCTTCCACCGCGCTTCTTCGACCACTGAAGTGCCTTGCGGAACATCGCCTTCTTCTCCAGCGACCTTGATGACCCCAGTGCAGGGACGCTCCAGTCGCCATTTCGCCTCCCCACGACATAGATATCATCAAGCTCTGCCTCCACTGTGAGATCCACCACTTCCGGCGACCCATCGAGCCGCTTTGTGTGCGCCTCTGATACACCGTCGCTGGTGCTCTTCCCCAGTAGCTGTGAGGTGCGGTTGCCCATATCTACCTCCGCAGGTTTCCAGCGACGGCGCGGGGCTAATCCGCCGGTCGTGAGGAGGAAATGGAGTGCGAATGGACCAAAGACTGGGAAGTGCCTGACCCTGGGAAGCAGACTGCTACGGCTGCGGCGGCGACGGGGAGTGGAGACGGCGTGGCGGGCGTCGTCGACGAGAAGCTTGCGGCGGCGGAGCGGGGAGGTGGATAGCGGTCGGAGGGCGGGGAACGGTACGGGGCTGAGGCGGCGGCGGCTGCTGCGGCGACGGCAGAGGCGAGCCGAGGAGGTGGCGTCGTCGTGGCGGCGCTTGTGGGGGGCGCTGGCGAGCGTGCGGATAGCGAAGGACCGAACGGCCTGGAACAAGTTGGGGACGATGGTGAGGCGGCGGCGGCGGCGAGGTAAGGAGGCGCCCTCGTGGGCATCGGCGTGGCGGCGCTTGCGGCAGCTGTGGGCTGCAGCGCTGTTCATGACGCCACTGAGAGACGGCGCATGGACGGTAGCTGGGAAGGCTGGCGGCGGCGTTGTAAGGGTGCGGGCGGCAGGCGGCGGGCGCCGGCCACCGGGGTGGGGATTTGAATCGGGAACAGCAGATTTGGCGAGACGACTTTCCGCTCCTCCCAGACACGCTTGGATTATAATCTAAGTAAAGATTTTCTTGCTTCTCGATTTTCACTTTTCGTAGTTCAAATATCTGAAGTAGCTTACCACATAAGCAAGAATTAGTAAAAATAAGTAAAATGTTTGGTAGAATTCTCGCTTATTTCCACCGATAAACCGCTTATAAGCGGAAACAAACAGTGCCGACATATCGCGGACGGCAGAGTATCTTGAGCCCGTGACCGTGACAGCAAAATGATAATTTTTTTTTCTGCTAGGTACTTCTTGGTCTTAGAAAATTCAATTATTATGATTTAATTTAAAAAATTAAATATTCTTAAATTTAATTAAATCTCTAAAAGAATACGCTCGTTGTAATCACATCTCTACAATCTAGCAAATCTCAGATCATTTAAGTTAGCTAGTAGGTTATGGATTATGTTAGAGTGTTAAAGGTTGGATTGTTTGAATTCCTAGGATTATAATCTAGAGTATTTGAATTACAAGATGGATCGTAGAAGTTAGGTTCTTGAATTTGGGTGGGTGCAAACACAACTAGAAGAAGAGAAAGAGTAAGCTTTAGGATGAAGTGAGCTATAATTTACTTTAAGTATATATCTAAGTATCACAGTCTTGACTTTGCTTGATGGAATGTTTAAATAAATCTAGTAAACTATTAGAAACACAATTACCATTTACTCTAACAGTTCTAAGTGTTTTTTCTCCACCACAAATTATAAATTATTTTGACTTTTCTATTTAAATGTATAGATATAAATGTTATTATAGTACATGTATCTAGATATATGTTATATAAAAAAGGTTAAAACCTATTACTCCTTCCATTCCACATTATAAGACGTTTTATGGGTTCATAGTTTTTCTACTTTTTTAGATACAATTATGTTTATATACAAAGTAAAATTAATATATATAGAAGATCACAATGACTTATAACTTGCAAGGGAGGGAGTATCTTTTCTTTTTGAATTTGACTAGGTAGCATGTCCGTACGTTGCTACGGAATAACTAACAATTTATGCTAAAAACGTACGGATCGCACGATAAGATAACAATACTGTAAAAATTAAATATCAACGCTAAAGTGACATTTAATCCAAAAAGCAAAGTTTATGGATTTAACACAGTCACGGAGTGCACGACGTCGCAGGCTCACAAACTCTACTTTATAGACCTTTCCATGATGCGGCTAAGATAATATTTTATACTGGTAGGAAGAAATCTCCGATATCCATTTCTTTCATTGTAATCCATTTATCTGGACAATGTTTGAGGTGAGGGCACGGTTACAGTTTTTAGTAGCTTTATGATATTATTCGAAGCTATGAGATGATTGATGTCTTCCAATGATCATTTCATTAATTTAGTTTTCTATCTATGTTTAATTGTTTATTCAGTCTATTTTATAAGTACACGTTGGTAGATAATGGATGACAAAATTTAAACATCCATAATTTATCTCTTTGACTTTGAGCATGAGTTTTGTTTTTATTTTTTAATTGATATATTGTCCTTTTATTTTTACCGTAGCGTTAGCACGGGCATACATAAAAAACGAAGATGTCTTTACACTGCAGGAATCTTTTCAAGAAGATCTTGCATAGATTATTCTTGTATTGAATATTATATATATACAATCACCTAAATATTCTAATTAAACTATAAAATTTTAAATTATGATACGAGGTAAGACATGTAAATAGGTATTTCAAAACTACATGTAGAGTTCAAAGAACTTAATAAATAAATTCTTCTGAAGGTAATGCAAATTCTCCCTAATCTTTTATTTAGTGTAGTTAGTGTTATCATAGTACCCGCATGTATTCATGGAAAATAAATCATGGACAAAACGTGGACACTTTCCAACATGAGTCCATCGTCTTGCCAATATCCTTAAAGCAGATCACATAAAGGATAAGAGTCCCTCTATAAGATTGCTCACAAGAGACTCAAACTTATATTTGATCATGGTAATGTTGAATTGCTTTGCATCAAAAGCATCGACAATAATAAACGGGAACATAGGTTTTAGTATGCATAGTGGAGGAAAGCTCAATCTTGGCTTTCTCAGTAGTTTTTTTGAGCATTTGCAGTGCTAACTTGTCCTTACTCATATAGTCAAGAGGTGCACCATAAAATTATGCACCACTAAGAAAAAGTGTCACCATTGGTTGTCTTGACCTAAAAAAAGTGTCGAAATTAAGAATTACAACACCTAATTCAACAGCTTGGAACTGACACTCAAGTGGATATCTTATTCTACAATATATGTCTATGTGGAATAGTCCTAAAGCCACACATATTTATACGGTGAGTATAACATACTTTGTTTTAAAATTTTATGAGATTTTTTAAGACACGCAGTATTATCCATGTGACAGGTACTAATATTTACATATATACTCGAACTTGTGTGTACAGGATTATATGGAGATGCAGCGGAACTTATTCATGAATTTATTGGCGCATGAAAGAAATGGATATTGGAGATTTTTTTCTGTCGATATAAAATATTATCTTAGTCATATCACGAAAAAGTCTATACAGTAGAGTTTGTGAGCCTACGACACCGCGCTCTCCGTGACTGTGTTAATTTCACAAACTTTGTTTTTTTATTAAATATTACTTTAACTTCGGTATTTAATTTAACAGTATTGTTATCTTATCGTGCAATCCGCGTGTTTTTAGTACAAAAGATTTAGTTGTCCCGTAGCAACGTACGGACACGCTACCTAGTTGAATATAAAAGGAGAGAACTGGTTGCATTCGTACATATAATGTACGTCAATTAAGGTTTTGTTTGAATTAACTCAGTTCGCGAACTAACAATAATAACTAAATGTGGCATATATCGAATTCTTTTAGGCACTGCTTGTGTGCAGAAGCGAAAAACATCTCAACCGCGCTTGCCCTAATATAAGTATTTGAAGTAATAAACCATTGAAGAATATCAACGTACCTCTCTTTCAGAGATTGAGCCGAATCTAACTTAGAGCCTCGAAACCCTACATCTTTTTCTATACGGGCTTCACTTCGGATACACCGATAGCAATATCAACGATCTCCAATCGATTGACCAAGTCGTATGGATCCCTATACAATGGCTCAGACATGTAGATTTTGTTCTTCTTATACTTGGATACACTTGTTCCACTGAAGATTTTATTGAAATGTTTAGACACGAACAGTGTCTGATCAGTGATCACCGATGTCCCTCACCCTGGACCACTCCGGCGTACGGTCGTGGAGGTTGCACTTGTAGATCGTGCTGCTGTAGGTGAAGCTCTATGTCTCGTGGAACGTGCTCACCATGGCACCCATAATGTGCAGCTCACCGTTTGATTACAGGTAGCTACGGTGGCAGAGCCCCGCAGGTGGCGACAGCGATGGCAGCAGCATCGCGGTTGGAATAGCGTCGGCGACGTTGCTACTGCAGACGGAGATTTCTCCAGTGCAGTCGACCGCCAAGAATTTGTCTTGGCAGTGGACGATGGACCCCACGGAGAACTCCAGTTTGGTGTCGAGCAGCGTCCATGCGCTGTCGACTCCAACCTAGCAGAACACGACCTCCGTGGAGCACCCAAGCATGCCCATGGCCACACACTCGCGGCCAACGGCGTCAGGCGGTGCCGAGAGCACGATCTCACGGAAGAACACGTCCCTCATGTCTTCTAGCTTAATGGCTCTGCCTACGGCATCCGCGTCCCCATAGCCGTTGGTGGGATAGAGGACCCACTGACCGTGGACCCTAGACATGCGTTCCGATGAGAACGCCGTCGTGACGTGTTCGCCTGCTAGTAGGAGCTCAATGCGGGGGGCACGGGCACCAGCGAATGGATTCAGCAGCGTCTCGGACGTCACCTCGTCCCTGAGCGGCAGCCACCCACACGAGGAGTCGCACGTCACCTTGCCGCGCACATCGAGCAGCGTCTTGGACAAGACTTTCTCCAGGACGCAGTAGAAGCCGACGCGGTCCGAGTAGGGATCGAACGGGAGCAGCAGGAGCGTCCCGAAGGTCGCGAACGGGGCGGCGGCGTGCCATGGGGAGCAAGCGGATCGGAAGGACGTCGCGTCGTGGCCTGACGTGAGACGCTGTCCAATGAACTCGAGGAGATCCTCTGGCAGGCCGGATCTTCAGTCAGGGAGAGGTAGGGACTTTTTCTTATGATTGGGAGGCTAAGCCATGAAAAACAGATGACATCAATTATGGTTCACGCAAGAAATGGTGTCCGGTGTCTACTGTCGCGATGGACCATGGATTGGGGAACGGGGATATGGGAAAATGATTCAAAATGAATGGACCCAAGGGCAATTTCAGCAAGAAACAACAAGCGAGGGCGGTGAAACACGTGAGCGTGAAACCAAATGAAATGAGAAAAAAACTGTTTTTTTTTGCAAATACAAAAAAGAAAAGTAATTAAATGTAGACAGATTTGGCAAGGTTATCAAAAATACAAAGAGTTTCCTTTTGTGTTAATTCTCTTTTCTTCTGTGTTAATTCTCTTTCCTTTTGCTCGTTGCCATGTATGCTGGTGCATACAAACATGCAATGTGGATATGGATAGCACAATAATTTTCTACTTCTTATTTTGCTGTGATTTCTCTATCACATAACAGACAATATTTAATCAAAGAGATGTGGTAGGATCGCAGGCGTGGACAGACGGATGAAGCAAAACAAATATCGCACTTAAAAAATGTCTTCTTTTTAGTTGTAGGAAACTAAGGCTAGACGAAAAAATCGAAGCTCGTTAGCTCGCTCGGCTCGTGGCTGGCTCGACTCGGCTCGTTATCATCGTTATGATAACGAGCCGAGCCGAGCCGAGCTAAGATTTTAGCTCGTTAGCTATAACGAGCCAACTTGAGCCAGCTCGCGAGCTAAACGAGCCAAGCTTCTAGGAAAAAAAGTATCAAAATTTATATTAGTTTTTATATTACTTCATGTCCTGTGCTTTACAATTAACTGGTAACTGGTCTAGACCCTATAAATTGACTGGTAACTAGTCTAGATGTATTTTTCTTTTATATTATTATTATTCTCAAACTTTAGATAAATACAAATATTATATTTTGTGTATTTTTTATATCTGGCTCGCGAGTTTAACGAGTCAGCTCGAGCTTTTAACGAGCCGAACCGAACTCGCTTTCTGGCTCGTTAGGATAACGAGTCAAGCCGAGCTAACTCGTTATCTTAACGAGCCAGAACGAGCCGAGCCAGCTCGTTAGCCTTATATGAAACGGATGATTAGAATTAAACTTTGTGCAAGTGACAATCTAGAACGGCCCTCTACCATAAATCTGCAGGCCTCGTCAGTCAGATGGGTACCCTGGACCATCGTCAACCGTCGCGACCGCCTCCCGCCTGCTCTCACGTGCCATCCGTCCGTGTTGCCATCGTCATCCCCTCCTCCCTCCGCTCCGTTTCGTTCCCACCATTTCCACGCACTCCGCGTCGCCTTCTCGGCTTCTCCCCTCCCCTTCCTCTCCTCTTCCCTACCCACCGCCGCCGCCGCTCCAGGGCCCCGAAATGTCGGACGAAGGCGGCGCCGGCGAGCCGCTCAGTGACCGCCAGAAGCGGGAGATCGCCGTCTGGTTCCTCTCCAACGCGCCCGCCGGCGAGATCCACTACGTCGCCAAAGGCAAGCCCCACGCGCCTCGCCCCTCCCACTCCTCCCTCCGATCCGTATACCTGTATATAATCCAGCTCGGCATCTGACTCGTGTTGCGTGGCGTCCGTGCTCAGATGTGCGCGCGCTGCTGGGGGACGACGCGGTGTACGAGGCCGCCGCCGCGGAGGCCTTCCCGGAGTACAACAAGGCCCGCCTCGTGTCCCTCGAGCTCCCCGACCGCAGTGGCGACGTGAGCACCTCTCTTCTCACATCCAGTTTCCTGATCCGTTTTGGCGTTTTCGTGTTCTTATTATGTGCAGCACAATCTGAATCAATTATCAGTAAGACTTAGCAATCCTGCCTTTGCATCAATTATTGCTAAATTAACCCCCGAGGCCCGGACTATGTTTTTAGACTCTGAGGCTCAGAGCACTTGGGAACTGCATAATTGTTGTTTATGAGAACTTGGAAAACATTTGGGCAGATCCCTCTTTGATAACATGATAAGTAGGGGCGTTTCGTGTTCAAATGGTTACTGTCACTTTCTTCTTCTTTTTCATAATAGCCAAGTGAAATTTGGGTATGACCAGTGGCGGATGCAGGATGGGGACAAAGGGGGGCTAAATAATGAAGATTTAGGGCTAGAGCCAGAGATTAATGGTGATTTGAGGCTAAGTAACTGTGGTCTAATGAAGAAATCAGGCTCACTAGGGGGGCTGTAGCCCTGGCAGGGCTGTAGCCTGGCAGGGCTGTAGCCTGGCAACCCCCCCTTTGGATCCGCCCCTGGGTATGACGCGCAACATTTATTTAAATTGCGTGACATATGCTTGCAGATAATGGATAATGATCCATGGAAGATCATTGTCTTAAATACTTGTAGAAGTTTTAATTTTGCCTTTTCTTTTCAAGCCCCCTGCGGCGGATAGACTTTCAACGTTAATCCCCATGGCTGAATGCAAGGAAACGGTAAAGCGCAAAGTTGGGCCTTGTTTAGATACCATCCAAATTCCAAGTTTTTTCACTCTCTCTCGATCACATCAATTTTTAGCTGCTTGCATGGAGTATTAAATGTAGGTAAAAAAAATAACTAATTACACAGTTTAGTTGGAAATCACGAGATGAATCTTTTGAGCCTAGTTGGTCCACGATTGGACAATATTTGCCAAATAAGACGAAAGTGGTACTATTCATCGGGTTGAAAAAAGTTGCAATCTAAACAAGGCCCTGATGAAGCCCAAGCTTCGGATGCTGGAGCTTCTGCCGACCAATCCAAGAGACAAGCCACAAGTCAGACATTGGCAATGGGGGCACCTGCAGCTACTGCAAATGACAATCCTATGGTTGAAACTCTTCCACGAGCTCTTAGACTCCGTGTTGATCCATCATATATCAATACTCTCTCTGCGAGAGGTGAAATTGGCTATCGGAGGACCACTGCTACAAAAGAGCTGGCCAAACAAATTCTTGAAATCAACGTCACTGAATTACGCCGCTGCATGGCTAGTGGATCAATGCTCCTGTATTTTGACAGTGGATCAATGCGTGATGCTGATATCAATACCGAGCTTAAAGCGATTGTCCCTTCGACTATCGATGTGTGCATGACTGCGCTCTATGCAAAGCTATACAACATCCACCATGATTACGGAGTGCACCCTTCCAGGTATCCGACCCCACCAAGTTTTGCCAAGGAGATTGAACTTCCCCTGCCGCTTGCTTTGTTGATTGAGTCCTTTGGTACATTTGAGACCTCGTGCCTCACCACCAATTACCTGTACATTCCTACTTACCCTGAAAACACTCAACATGAAGGGCGTGCTAATGCTGAGTATCCAATTACTCGGTATATGTCGTATGCTTCAACCTTCCGAGAACTGAAGGTTCCAATGAAGGCGTTTGAGCCCCATGACAAGAGTGGGACGCCATGGTGGACTTATCAAGTAGCCATTGTCTGTTCGACACATGACTTGATTTGTGCTCTTCCTCCTCTGTGCACTTACTTTAGTGCAGAACTCCGCTCTTTGCTGCTAATCCCTGACCCTGACCACAACAATGAAGTCCAAGAGATTGTGACTCATCCTCAGGACGTAGCACACTATGGATTTCGCATGAAGGCACTGCGCACAGGAATCGCTGTCAGAACGTTTCTTGCACTCTGCCACTGCCCTGATGTATTTTGGCAGTTCACTTAGAGATTTTATTGAGACAGAAAATCTCGAAGCTCCAGTGAGCTTGTAATAGGATAGATCCCTATTCGTGACTCGTTATGTTTTGTAATGTTAAACATTTGGGTTAACTATTTGAACATCTGAACCTTTATTAGTTTATGTAAATTGGTGAGGTGGTGGAGTTTTTTGCAATGCCCTCTTGGGGCAAAAGCCTAAGTGATATTACTTCGTTAAGAATAGCAGAAATCACACCAGACCATCATTGAATATGTATGCTTGCAGATAATCATCTCAACTTATGGGGAGATTGACAAGAACAATTATCTGGACCCCAGGACTGCGCAAGTGGCTACTATAGATCATATGAAACAGGTAATGTTTCACATCACACCCTATGTTTCTCTTGCTATGTTAAAACAGATCTGTGATGCCAACTGTGCAAGTGATGTTTTAATCTGTAAGAAAACTTAAGCACCACACAATCTAGTCATCTTAGAGAAAAGTGTACCGAGCAGCTTCATGGCTGCAATAAGCATCTCCAGCATCTTGAACTTGATAATCTAAATATTCTGATACATTTAATAAATGGAACATTGCATCTGAAGCATTACATTAACATTTCTTGCCTAAAGTTCATGCAGCGTGTTAACGTGTCTCATGAAGGGTATGTCGCGCGTACTCACGTCAACCAATATGCTCCACATGAATTAGTAGCAGACATGAGCTGTGCATTGCAGAATCTGATCGCACAGTTTCTTCCGTTCTGGTTTATAAAATAAACTGCACAATAGATTTAGACGTCGATACTAAAATTGCCATATGTTGTTATGTCCACGACTTAAATTCAAGTTTAAATTGTTCAAATTTCGAGGATGTACTCCCCCAGTCCCCCCAAAAAAAAAAAAAAAAGAAAAAAAAAAGAAACAGTACACGCTATGCCACAGTTGGCAGTGTCAGACTTTTGTTGGTATTCACATGCTTGTGTAGGCTATTTGAATCAAAGATCGCATTAAGCCTGGATAATGGCAAATTTGCAAGATATAAGTTATTTAACGCCTGAATACATTAATGTATTTGGTAACATGTTTTATTTAAAAAATATGGATGTAAGGCTCTTTTGTAGTTTTACTGATTTTATTTGGCCACTCAATTGTAGATGACCCTTCATCAAATTAATTTGTAATGTTTTGTCTTCTCATGATAAAAGACTTGTACAAAACTGAGGCCTGCTGAAGATGAGGAGCTTCCATCAGCTTACATTGAAGAGTTTAGGTAGACTACCTGTGCGTCTTTCCTTTGACTTATTCCAGTTTCCATATTATATCACAACTGCACATATGTTGTCTAATCTTATGTATGAATACAGGTGTGCTTTAGATGTTGAATTGTCAAAATATGTTGTTGAAGCTTATCCCAAAGGGGCCTGTGCCGTTTATTGTACTAGTGGAAAGGATATAGAGGGACCAGGAGCAGATTTCAGTTTCACAGCAGTTATTTCTGCTGCTAAGCGTAGCCCACAGAACTTTTGGTATTGTCTGGTTCATGTCTTCTGATTTTTCCTTGTTCCTGAAGAAATTTGCCATATTTTCTTAAATCTTTCACATATGGATGTTAGTTTTGCTCTGCATTATAATGACTAAAAAAATTAATAGATCCTTTTTAGCCTTTAAGGCGATTTACCAATCCTCTGTTTCTAGATTCTCTTTAGTTTTAAAACTTTATTCCGGAAATTCCTTAAACTTTAGTTTCCTATCAGTGTCTCATTGCATTCCTTTGAGAACCTATTATTTATTTTTCCATTCAGCATGCAACCTTTAGTCTTCAGATTTTTCATGGGTGACATTGTCAATATCCCTGTGAACTGTTGTTTGTTTTGAGTATGCTATTTTATCATTGGCCTAGAACCTTATGACATGTTTAATGCCTGCCCGTTCTTTCTATTTCTCTATCAGAGGAATTGCTTCGCATAATCTCAATAGAACTGTTAAGAATGCTCCAAAAAGATTTGATCTTTTAATTGTTTAGCCTCTGATGAAGGTCAACTGAATATTGTGTCATCCAGCAATGGCAGCTGGCGTTCAATTTGGACTATGGATTTCAATTATGAGTTGCAGTTTGTTGATATTAAAGGAAAGATACAGGTTGGCCTTTTTACTTAACAAGGTAAGAGCTCTAAATTTATGTTAATATAACAGAAGTTAATTTTTTGTAAATATCACTTGCATATACGCCAGGTAGATGCTCACTATTTTGAAGAGGGAAATGTCCAGCTGGATACTAACATTGATCGCAAGGACTCCACCATGATGCAGGTTAGTTAATGCAAGAATTTGAGCCCTGAATATTGTGATGGCATTCTTCTTCTGACCTCACACATTTAGTCCCGCTACTGTTTCAGTGGTTGTCACTTGTTACATGATATGCTTCACTTGCACAAATTAGTTCGGTCTACAATGCAAAATATTCCATCCACATGTTATTATATTCTGTTTGTGTTAGTTTTTTCTCCTCTAATACAAGGTGTTGGCTAGAACTTAAAAAATATTCCATGTATGTATTTTTTGGTTATAATGCATTGAAATGTAACCTGGTTCTCTCTTAAGAAAAAAGGAGTAAAGAGTCAAATAAACTTAAACCATGCCTCTAACATAATATTTCTTATGTTTGATGTTTCAGTCACCTGACGATTGTGCGGTTTCAATAACTAACATCATTCGACATCATGAGTCTGAATATTTGTCATCTCTCGAGGTCTGTATCTGTCTGATGTTTATTCAACCAATTTAGCCATGAGCATGAACTTGAATAATGTTTTGCTTTATTCATGTGCAGGAATCATACTTAAATTTGTCTGATGCAACTTTCAAGGTAGGCTATGTCATCCTCGTCATTATGGCTTCTTTGTTTCAGTTGTACTGAAACTCTCCATAATTTGTGCGCAGGATCTTCGGCGAAAACTTCCAGTTACCCGTACTCTTTTCCCATGGCATAACACACTGGCATTCAGTCTTACGAGAGACCTTGCCAAAGAATTAGCGCTTGGAAAATGAAGTCTGCAGGCCATGTCACCAGATGGTTTCGAGTGGAATTTTTATATCCATGGCATGTTGTGCTGTTCTGTAGTAATCAGCATTCTTCATTGTTTGACCTCTGAGCTTCCCAATCCTAGTGTAAATCAAGAACACACTTTTGTGGGGAATGGCATTCAGAAAATATACATTCTCTTCACATATCCTCCTGCACCACCAGATGTAAAATTTCGCCTTCCTTAGTGCTTACAGGGCTTGTTTGGGTGGCGTTCTGAACTGGGGGGTCCTTAGTGCTGATAAGCCATGGCTAAAAGTACCATTGATTGATTTGTTATGAGAGAAAAATACTATACGTTGGCTGAAAAAGTACGGCTTATAAGCCAAGCGAACAGGGCGCAGTTGCATCCCAGGCACTTTAAATCGAGGGCGGCAGTTGCATCCCAGGCACTTGAAATGGAACGACCGGTAGGCGGTAGCGATGCCGTTAGGAACCGAACAGCCTATTACTGACGTGTGAATCAGATGTTTCTTCACCAATGCTTCCATTGTGATCGAATTATTATGGGTGTTTTGTATGAGGTAAAAAAAAATGACCATCCAAAAGGAATGTACGAGGTTAAAAAATCTGTATTTTGGATAGAGATTGATCTTTGAGCTCAGACGAAAGAATGCACAGATGTATAGCAATTAGGAAATAATAACCTCGGGGTGTTGTTTGTGGTTTCTTCTTTATCTTTTTCAATATATCATCATTATAATTGGAAGCTCTTCTGCTTGAGTCGTTTTAAATAAATAAATGATTAGATAAAACTCCTACATGAAATCTTCGCAAAAAAAATCATACATGAAAGGTTTATAGAGTACCAAAAAGTTCTATTTGCCTCTGTAAACTATCGTATGAGTCTGAATTTCCTTCTTGAATTAACCGCAAAAGGTGTTGAAAAGGCCGTGCAAACTGAGCAACTCCAACAGAGATGCTATTCCTAGCTTTGAATCTACGTTAGACTTTTTGGGGCATAAAATAGACTCCAAGATATTGTATCCTGCATTCCAAAATAGCAAATCGGCTATCGCGTGAAATCCGGTTGACAAAGATAGCCAGCGAACGCCGCTCGCCAAACGGGACCTCCCGCGCCGATTCTCTGACTTCCCGCGCGTCTGCTAGCTTCTTGCGCACATTCGTCTTGCCGCCGGAGGGAATCCTTGGTTCCCGTGGCACGCTTCTCTCCCGTGTGGGCCTGTCCTGCTCATCATCGATGGCATGGAGGAGGGACTCGTCAAGGTAGACTGGTGGAGGAAGAATCCGAGCTGCTTGGGCGACGACGAGATGGCAGTCGGAGAGATCTGTGATGTGGAGGAAGATGAATCGGAGAGCAGGAAGAAGCGGTGTGCGGGCACGGAAATAGAAGAAGCGGTAGCCGCGGCGAGACCTGTTACAGCTTTAAACTCTCCCGACGTTGGCGCCGTGCTCTGCAGGCACCTGTTTCTTAGTGCTCGTCGGCCTGACGGCCTCCGTGGGGCTTCGTTTGGACACCTCACCTGCTGCTGGTGGTGGACCTGGACGCCGCCACAGCTCCTGTCTTCATGTCGTCGTCGTCGTCAGAAGCTCCTGGAGCTCGATCAGACAACAAGCTACCTCAACCAGTGGTAGAACAGGGTGAAGAACACGGCGTGGCTTGCTGCCTGCTGAACGAAGGAGACAGAGAGCAAGAGAGGAAACGAAGAAGACCAGGGAGCAGCAGGCTGTAGTAGCTTGCTGCCTGCTCAGCCGGCTGCAGAACGCTGTGGCCCTGTCTACACGGTGGCGCGGGACGACGCGAATCCTTCAAGCAGTGGATCGAAAAATGGTGACATGGCAAGTTTCAAATATAGACAAGGGAAATTTACATAAACTGTTGCAGTACTCTACTGTCTGGAGGAGGTTTCCATCATGCATTGGGTGGACGCAGTATGTGGACATGGGTCCCAATAAGTTTGAGAAAAAAAATTACAGGTACTATGCATATACATGTGTTATACATATGAGTAGACTAAACTATGTATATTTAACCCAATTAAGAGTTAAAAGGCCAAGTTTCTTGCCTCCTCCCATCCACCATCCAGCTGGGCCGGCCTGCTAGCCCAAGAAGCAGACTCACGGAGGGAACCAGCCAACCAGAAGCGATGCCCTCTGCCCGTCCGTGACGGCGCCTCCCGCCTGCTTCGACTCACCCTTCCCAATCGACCAAAAATCGGCATCAGTAGGCGGCACGGCAGTCGCACAGAGAGCCCACCATGGCACCACCGGACGCCGACCGGTTGCCAGTCGTCGTCGTTGCAAAGTTTAATCCCAAAGACTTTTCAATCACCGACTTGAGGCGTCTAACCTATCAGCTTGGTAACTTTATTACTGATATGCGTGTTAACGAAAGATTTAGCAAAGTGAAAGCATGTCTTACACTCGTATGCCTACAAGCTTCTGAAATGAGTGCTATTGCTACCGCTTTGCAACTGCAAGTGTATTAATTAATTGTACTAATGTACTTTGCTCTAGTACCATTTGCTTTGAATTGATGGACATTTAGTTTTACATATATATGTGTATATATGTAGCCGTACACCCAATCTTAAATTCCTGCGTCCGCCATTGAAATCATAGATTTAGCCATCCATTTTAGCAACACTCTTGAAGTTGCATTATGAAACCACCTAAGGCCTTATTTGGATGCGCATGTATTTTCTTAATCCATATATGTTGAAATAGAATTAACAAAATTACATTCCAATCCACTCCAACACACACGTGGATTGAAGTGGATACACACGTATTCCTTGTTTAGATGCTATCAAATTCACATCAATCCACATGTGTTTAGACCTTATTTGGATGTGTTCTAATCCACTTCAACACATGTGAATTGAAGTGGATACACGAGCATCCAAACAAGGCCTTAAGTGGATTAAGGTAAAATTTAGTTCAAGTTCCACTCCGATCCACCCAACACATGTGGATTAAAATGAATCCGATTAAATCCAAATAAGACATAAAAGTCTTTTTTTTAGGGAGGCCCAAAAATCTTTTGTACTTAGGAGGATCTGGGATCTTGATTTTACAGCGACAAACCCGGCCGACGCTGAGGACAATAGTACTAAGGCCCCGTTTGAAGTGAAGCCATTTTTTTTTGCTTCAGCTCCACGAACAGTTCCACTGGTGGAGCTGAAGCGGTTTTGATAAACTGTTTGGCAAAATGACTTTCATGTGAGAGCATGTTTTTAGGGACCTGGAGGAGGAGCCGGGAGAAGCCACTTTTTTTTTGGCTCCATCCCACCCCAAATCACTGTGAGAGCATGTTTTTAAGCTATTTTACTTTACTCCGTTTAGTAGAAAACCGGTGAAGAAGTCCTGCAAAACGGGGCCTAATATTAATTAACGGAATTCTATATGGGCCACACGATACAGGCCCAAACGCTAGGGCCCGTCTATACGCACAACCTAGGGCATCAGGAGTGTACAAGATCTCAAAAAACCCATCTATCTTTTCTTCCTCTCGCGCAGCATCGCCTTCGCCTCCCAACTTCCGCCGCCGCTCCCTCCACCGCGCAGGAGGCCGGCGCTGCTCGCCCGCCCCCGCTCGCGCAGAAGGCCGCCGCCGCTCGCGCTACTGGTGCCCTAAGCCCCGATATCCCTCTTCGCCTCTCGTTCCTCCTCCCCCACCCAAAACCCGAGCTTCAGGGTTCCGCCGCCATGGTAAGCCCCCTTCCCTTCTCCGCGCCGCCTCGAATCTGAGACCTCTCCATGCCCCTAGCTAGCCCTCATATGTCTCAATCTTACCGCTCTTCCCATTTATTCATTGTTTTTTCGCGATTTTTTTTACAAGTTTCGTGCTAATATTTTCCCGTGCACGAGTGTGATTGCAGCCGCAGGGGGACCACATCGAGCTTCACCAGAAGCGCCATGGCAAGCGCCTGGACCACGAGGAGCGCAAGCGCAAGCGTGAGGCGCGCGAGGTGCACAGGCGCTCGAAGGATGCCCGCAATGTACGGTTCTAATCTGATAAGTTTACGCCCTTTTGGTTTTGTTGTTCATGTGCCCCTGTTGTTGATGATTGCGTGCCTTGTGCTGTTGTAGTTGCTTGGTGCTAAGGGCAAGAGGTTCGCCAAGAAATGCTATGCTGAGAAGGCGCAGATGAAGAAGACGTAAGTGCTTGTTTGCTGCTCCTATTTATGTGTTGATAATTGTGCAATAGATATGAGCAACTTTTGATGCATGGATATTTCGAGTAGATGATGTGACCTAATAAGTTTATTTACCAAGTCGACTAGGGGTCTTGAGCATGAAAAATTCTGGACGTCACCATTTCAAAGTCTTACTTTCTGGCTGCAATTGTATTTACGTGTGTCTCTGCTTGAATTGGCTCTTTTGCAGCCTGAAAATGCACGATGAATCAACTAAACGACAGAAGGTTGATGATGATGTCCAAGAGGGTGCTCTTCCTCCGTATCTACTGGATCGTGATCAGACACAGCGTGCCAAGGTGAATTACTGTTCTTGGCTTCTCTCCAGCTGACTGTGATGCAGGAACATTTTGTGGCATTGATTGATCACTGATGTCTGGTGACATGTAGGTTCTCAGCAACACAATCAAGCAAAAGAGGAAGGAAAAGGCTGGCAAATGGGATGTTCCGCTGCCAAAAGTGATTCTCAAATCTCAACACAGCAAACCCATTTCTGGTTGCTTCATTGAGTTATTTTCTACTCACAATTTTTCTCCTTTCAGGTCAGGCCCGTAGCTGAAGAAGAAATGTTCAAGGTTCTACGAACTGGCAAGCGAAAAAGTAAGTGATGATGGGATCTGTTAATGGATGTGGAATTTGATGCCATTTAAAGGTTTTATGTGGCATGCCAAATATCTGTGTATGTATATGCTTTGTGGAACTGTGATGTGCTAATGAAACTTTGACAACTGATTTGAGCAACCAGTGTGTTCCATCTGCTAAGAGTTCATAAATGTTTCATAATATAGGACACAAGATTTTCCTTTGGTCTGAATAATTTAGCTGATCTTTTCCGTATATGCAGCCAAGCAGTGGAAGAGAATGGTTACTAAAGCCACCTTTGTTGGAGCTGGATTTACAAGGAAACCACCGAAGTACGAACGGTTCATTCGGCCAACTGGTCTGCGTTTTACCAAAGCTCATGTGACTCACCCAGAACTGAAGTGCACTTTCAACCTTGACATAATTTCTGTGAAGAAAAACCCAAATGGTCCAATGTACACTTCTCTTGGTGTTATGACAAGGGGAACAATCATTGAGGTATGCCAAGCATTTTTACCAGTAGTACTCAATACTCCGTGTAGCTGACTAGTTAGTGACTATATTTAGTGCTCGTCATGGTTCATTGAGATTATCTCTTTATATCCCCCCTCTCAAAAATTTCTGCTTACAATGGTCCTCTTTCAGGTAAATGTCAGTGAGCTTGGTCTGGTAACTCCCGCTGGAAAAGTTGTTTGGGGTGAGAAATCTGCCAACTTTGCGCTCCTTTTGCCCAACCTACCTTGAATCCTGTTCAATAAACAAAATTTCTTGTGTTGCAGGGAAATATGCTCAAGTTACAAACAACCCGGAGAATGATGGCTGTATCAATGCTGTTTTGCTAGTGTAGAGCCATAGTGAGATTTTGTTTATGGTGGTGAATCGTCCCATTTGTATCCGCTCTGATATGATATTTTTTGACTGATGTCATGTCTAATCCCAGTAGTTTGTTGTGCACCATGGGCATAATGAACATTCTGTATTCTTGCTGTGTGCTACAAATGACTCCACTATTATAGCCTGCTATATGAAGTTGAGTAATACAAATTAGCAGTATTCTTGCCTATCAGGCATTCAGGCTATGACGTATCTGCCTCAAAAGTCAAAAGTGTTTGTCCTTCCGTTCTAAATTAGAAGACATTTTGGCTATTATAAAATCATTTGGCTTTTCTAGATACATTACCTTTATTATACACTTAGACATACACTGTGTCTACTTGCATACCAAAAGCAATGTAAGTCAAAATGTCGTATAATTTAAAATAGAGGGAGTACTATCCAAAAAATGATGATCATTCTGCACAGTGGCACTAGGATGTTTCAATCAGACACTGACATACTTGGGGTTTGAAAGGTTTCAATCAAATATAAAGTACACGGAATACACAAAACAATCTACTGTAAAACTTTACAGCAAATCATTGCTTCATTGATAATTTTTAATCAAAACTAATCAAATAAACATGTGAAATACACAGCAATCGTCATGGAACAAATCATTGCTTTGGTTGACATGAGGATGATGCATTGACGTCCGAAATGAAATAAAATCACACGTGGGAAGACGAATAGTCGTGCAGAGAACTTTCAGCAAATGAAAACTCTATCTACGGGAGCTGCATTTGCCACATTTAGATAATTGACATCAACAGCGACCTCCCCAAGATCATCTGCATGTGTCAAGAACTCAGTTAAGTTACCTATCATGTACAAACGCATAGCACATTTCATGCCAACAGAGTTCCAGAACCTAACCTTCGTATACTGTTCTTACAATTTGAACATAGTCACGTATCATCTCTTGATAGATAATTCCATCAGGATGTGCGTCCAAGACAACTAATGCTCCTGTAGCATATTGTAAATTTTAACCATAATGCTTAAGTTGTGCATAGAAATAGGGATTCAAAACAGATTAGATACACAGAACAGGCCTGATTTATTATCAGGAAAACAGCAAGTTAGAATACATGAACAAAGCTGAGTGCTCCGTAGCCCTACCTGGTGCTAACCAAGCTTTTGTCTCATTTGATGGCAAAGGTGCTAACCAAAGGACATTGCGCAAATTCATAGAATCATCATATGGTACACTAGATCCTGTAAAGTAAGGAGTGGAAAATAAATTCGACTAAGTACTTAAAGTACAGTGCCCCAATACAGCACCGACAGCAAAGGAAACTAGATTATTATGCATCAAACCAAAAAGAATAATATAAAATTTACCTGCTTGGCAATATCCCAAATAATATGGAAACAATTCCTTATTAAATGCTGGGTATTCTTTAGCATGGAACCTACATAAAAAAAGAATCAATCATGAGTAAAACATCAATATTTCTTTGCATACACTTGACACATTTTGCCTCAAGTATATTAAATATTTCTAGAGGGACACATATTAAAGATGATATATTGATATGATTTATGGCAACCCTGATATCAAACTTGACTTTGCTCCATATGTGGTTAACTCAACTACTAAGAGCTTACAGGAGATCCAAGTTCCATCCTTTCCCCCAAGAAATTCTAGCTTCAATTTGCTGATGGTATGTCTGTAGGTTTTAGTTCTAGATTGGCACATGAAAGTAGATAAACTGTAATGCCACCCAAAAGACATCTAAACCAGATACATCTTCTATAACATTTTACTGAAGGGAGATCTGATAGTTGAAAGTCTGGGAACAAAGCCTAAGCAACGATTCAAGGAACTTACAGAATTCCAAGCCGTCCTGTTTCAGATGCAAGGAAAAGATGGCCATGGAACAAATCATAGCGATTCAGGGATACATTTAATCCAACCGAAGGTCCCCGTGCCACAATCAATTCAAACAAGAATGCAAAATATGAATTGATCTCCTGTTAGCAACACAAAGGGCGCAAAACACGTGAACAAAATGCGGAGCCTACGATTATAAGGAAATTCAAGCGTGATTTGAGCAAAATCAGGACCTCGCTGGCAAACCGCCTCCCATATGGTGTTCTTGTGAGTTCGCATTTATTCTTCTGGGCCGCCTCAACATCTGGCACCTATTGCAATGATCGATTTAGTTAGGCAGTAAAAAAAACCCATAGTTCAGTCGCGGTTACTATTAATCCTAATGTGCGATCTTAAAAATTAAACTAGGGCCAAGGACCTAGACTTGTCTGTATGTACACCAACGAATTACTTGAAATTGTTACAAAATGTAACTCCAGGATACCATGATTCATGATATTAAAAACTAAGGAGAAAGCAAAACCAAAGCCTAATGGTGGTGTCTGTTCCTATTCAAATACTTACACAACATAAGATAGTCAGACCATGGCCAATCCCAGCTTCTGATCAGTAAACCCAAATTGAAACTGAATTATGGCTTGCAGCTGCGCACCATCGCGTTTATCATATTAATCTAAATTTCTTGCTACACTCAAGATAAATTTTCTTTTTTGCATCCTCATCCAAACATTTTTATTTTCCCTTTGCCCGAACGGGAGAACTGAGCATAAACACTCACCGGCAGCATCGTTGGGTCGAGCGCGCGGTGGATGGCACCGGGATCGCCTCCGGAGTCGACGGCCAGCCGCGCCAGCTCCAAGACCGGGGCCGGCGGCCACATCACCATCTCGTCCGCCTCCGCCGCCCCCGCATCGCAACCTTCCAGAAGGAACTTCCGGGGCCCTCCGCGGCTCCAAGACGATACCTTTGAGGCCGTGGGGTTTGCGGGGGCGAGGAACCGGAGGCAGGCGTGGAGCCGCGAGGCCTCCGCCGCCGGCACCCGCGCCGCGGCGTGCGGGCCGGCGAGAACGGAGAGGAGGTCCGCGGCTACGGCCTGCGGGGAGCTGGCTGATGTGCCGGGCGAGGACGAGGAGGAGGAGGAGGCGCAGCAGGAGACGGAGAAGGAGACGGTGAGGGAGATGGTGAAGGCCAGCTTCAGCGACAGGGGAGCTGGCCGGAACCGCAGGAGTAGCATCCTCTGACCTCTGTCCCCTCCTCTGACGCTTGTGTTGCTTGTGCTCTGTTACTGAAGATGACCGATCGAAAACAAGGGATGGTGCACTGCGCTTGCTACTGCATCCTCTGCAAACTTCAGTCTATTGCGAATTGGAAGCAGAATTGCAACGGAGCGTTTTATCACATGCGATGATTTGGAGACGTTGAGGCACCATCAATCGTGAACATCGTGGACAATTGTTTTTTCAGTCGTTGGTTGGGGGACAATTGTTTTTTCAGTCGTGAACTTCGTGGCATATAGGAGTATTTTATACTCCTGGTTTGGACAATGCTTCACGGGAGTACCTTTTTTGTTGTAAAATAAACAAACTAATAAAGCAAGCTCGAGGTCTCGTTCATGTCGTGGTCGGAAGAGATTCGTCTTGTAACATTGATGAATCCATAGGCAAGGCAATCCGAATCCGGAGTGCAGTGTCCAACTAGGCTTACGGCTGCGACTCTGCGAGTGCTGCCTCTTCCGCTTGGCGAACGACCGCCGGCCGTCTAGTGGATCTCGCACCACCCAGCCGACAGACGGGCGTCTCGTGGCGGCGTCCGGCCGGGCAAGCGGAGTCGCCGTGTGCCATCTCGCTCGCGGGGTGCAAGCAGTTGCAGAATGCCGGGCTCAGTCTGGATCGTTTCCGGCACTGGGCCACGGTGCCAAGACGCAAGCGCGGGCCATCCCGGACCGCGCCGGCCGGTGATCTCTTTTTGTGCCGGCGGCGAAACAGCAACTTCAACTTGGGGGACTTGGGTTGCTTGCTCCGCGTAACGTCCAATCGAAGCGCACTTGGACTCGCTCAAGATGGTCTCTCATGTTCTTCAGTAATTCTTCGATCATATGCTGTTCCGCATGACGGTGACCGTATGGTGATTGACGAATATTGGTGGATGAATTCTGTCGTTCTGTGTGCAGGGTAGCTGCCATCGTCATGGGTCGTGATTTTGTGACGAAGCAGCTCACGGCTCTCTAGAGGATTTGGAAACCGGAGGTCTGCACCCTGTAGCTGTAGAAGGCTGACTCTGCAAATCGCGCGCCATCTGGATGCTGGAGCCTGGAGCCATGGCGGCGGACCGTCAGAAAAAGAAAGCACACCGGGGACACCTACCTCCTGGGCAGGCGCTCCTCTCCTCTGGAAGGTGATGGCAGAGCGTGACACGCGCGCCAGCTACGTGGCCACCGGTCAGGGACGACCCGGCCACGTCGCGAAGCGTCCATGCCGCCTCCCCGCATCGTTTCGTCCCGCACCCAGACCCCGTTCCTTCATATAAGCCACGCTCCACGTGCTTCCGATCATCGCACCGCACCTCCAACGCACGAATCGCCATAGCCATCCAGCTCGGCGATCACACGGCTGCATCCATCCATCGACCGCCATGGCGCAGGCGGAGCGCGAGCAGCTGAGCGTGGTCATGTTCCCATGGCTCGCGCACGGCCACATCACCCCGTACCTCGAGCTGGCCAGGCGCCTCACATCCGCGGACCGCCGTGCCGCCGGCGATAACATCGACGTGACCGTGCACCTCGTCTCCACGCTCGTGAACCTGTCGGCGATCGCGCGGCACCAGACTTCGCGGATCCGCTTCGTGGAGCTCCACCTCCCGGCGCCGCCGGACCTGCCGCCCAAGCTGCACACCACCAAGCACCTCCCGGCCCGCCTCATGCCCGCGCTCAAGCGCGCGTGCGACCTCGCCGCGCCGCGCTTCGGCGCGCTGCTCGACGAGCTCCGCCCGGACCTCCTCCTCTTCGACTTCCTCTACCCGTGGGCGCCGCTCGAGGCCGCGGCCCGAGGCGTGCCCGCGGTGCACCTCAGCAACTGCAGCGCCGCCGCCACCTCCTTCTTCGTCCACTGCCTCGGCAGCGCCTGCGCCGGCCGCGCGTTCCCGTTCCAGGGCGTCGGGCTCGGCAGCGCCGAGGAGGAGGCCAAGTACACGTCCATGTTCGCTGTCCGCGACCACCCCGACGCCCTGGTCCCCGAGCGCGACCGCCTGCTTCTCAGCCTCGCGCGCTCCTCGTGCTTCGTGGCCATCAAGACGTGCGCCGACATCGAGCGACCCTACATGGGCTACCTCTCCGAGCTCCTGGACGGCAAGGAGATCGTCCCCGTCGGCCCGCTGCTCGTGGACGACTCCGACGCCGGCGGCGCCGGCGCCGGCACGTCGCCCGAGTCCGACCGCGTCACGCGGTGGCTCGACGCCCAGTCCCCCGCCTCCGTGGTGCTCGTCTCCGTCGGCAGCGAGTACTTCATGTCGGAGCAGCAGCTGGCGCGGATGGCGCGCGGCCTGGAGCTCAGTGGCGAGCGGTTCTTGTGGGTGGTGCGGTTCCCCAAGGGCCCCGAGGACGGCGACGACGCGGCGCGCGCGCTGCCCCGCGGGTTCGCCCCGGCGCCCCGGCGCGGGCTGGTGGTGGAAGGGTGGGGGCCGCAGCGCCGCGTCCTGGCGCACCCGGCCTGCAGCGCGTTCCTGTCGCACTGCGGTTGGAGCTCCGTGCTGGAGTCCCTGGCGGCGGGCGTGCCGATCGTGGCGCTCCCGCTGCACATCGACCAGCCGCTGGGCGCCAACCTGGCCGCGGAGCTGGGCGCCGCCGTGCGGATGCCGCAGGAGCGGTTCGGGGAGTTCCGGGCCGAGGACGTGGCGCGCGCGGTGCGCGGGGCCATGCGCGGGGAGGAGAGCCGCGCGCTCAGGCGCCGCGCCGCGGAGCTGCGGGAGGTGGTGGCGCGGAACGACGCGGACGGCGCGCAGGTCGACGCGCTCGTCCAGCGCATGGCACGGCTCTGCGGCAAGGGACAGCAGCGAGTGGCCGTGCCCAACTGAATTCCGTTGCGTTGCGCCCTTTCTGTTTCGTTTGCTGAGTCCGTCTACTCGTCACCGAGTGTTTTAAGCCCTTCCCACACTCAAGATTATTTTCTACTGCATTTTCTTCCTCCTCCGACGTGTCGCTGCCGCTCCCACCCACCGCCCTGTCACGACATGGTAGGGTCTCGCCGTAGCTCCGCGGCGACCTCCATATTTCCCTCCCCCTGCCACTATCATGGCCATGGTCGTCCCCATCCCGACCGTCTCCTACACTGTCAAAACCGTAACTACCGTCCTCCCGTCGTTCCCATTGTCTGGCTGGTCTGTCTCTCTTGAGCCCCTTGCCGGAGTTTTTTTTTAAACTACGCCCGCTGGAGTTGAAGAAAAAGAGAGAGGGAGGAAAGAAGAGAGTTGGAGAAGAAGAGAAAGAGAAATGGAGGGGAAAATCGAGTATTGGATTGCTCTCAAACCTTTTGAGTGTTAGATAGTATTTCTCTTTTTCTTTCATCAAGTGCCAGGACCGTCTGTCTTTCTAAGTTCCAATTCGAGAATAAAATTTATTGCTCATGGGCCATGGCAGCATGGGGGCATGGGCTTCTTGTTCTTGCTGTATATAACGCACTCAAAAGCCTAATGAGAAAATTGGTAAATTTTCCGTTGGGCCTTTCGGCCTAGTCGCATGTGTCACTTATGACTGCCCCTACTTTATATATACTCGCCCTCCTCCAAAATAGAAGACGTTCTTACTTTAAAAAAATTATTTTTTTAACATTGACCAATTATATATAAAAAATATTAATATTTATAATACATAATTAGTAGATCATTGATATATTTTTTATAATAAACTTATTTAAAGATATAAATGTTGCACATATTTTCTGTAAACCTATCTAGTTAAAGTTGAGAAAGGTTTAGACTTTTTCGGATGAGGAATGTAATTATTTTCTTTTTTTATCATGGAATGTAATTATTTTCACATAGGCATCTCAATATTTCAGGACAAGAAACATGGTCATACTCGACATTCCTGACTGATAAGGGCAGACCATACCTTATGGCGCATGCCCATGGGAAGAAGACAACATAGCTGATGTCATGCGCACGGACCCAAGAAAATGCACAAATATTGAGATGGATTGGGTAGTAGAATATACTTCATCCGTCCTTAAAAAAAGAATACAATTCTTATTTCTCGATGAGTCAAACAAGTCAGATTTAACAAAATTTATAAAAGAAAAGTATTAATATTTATGATAGTAAATAAATATCATTACATTTATTATGGAATATATTTTTATAGTAAACCTATTTAGACATATAAATTTTAATATTGTTTTCTATAAGTTTGATCAAACTTACGAAAGATCGATTTTGCTCCAAACCTCGAATTATATTTTTATGATGGAGTGAGTTTACTAGTGTGGCCGGCCAAACACTGGTTACGAGTTGGAAAAGGCTACCCGTGTGGTGAGGTCCCTAATTAAAACAGTCTTCAATTGAAACTCCATCATTCTATCATTCTTCGAATTGTATAATCCGTTAGGGTCTTTTTGTCTAACTAACTAATAGTTAGCTGCTAGTATAAAATTAGTTGGTGGATCTAAATAAACCCACTTAGTAGATAAGCTAGGTATTAGCAAAGCGCACAACTAATATCTGTCTCATTTAGCTCGACAAACCAAGGTAATTGGTTGTTAATTAATCAAAATGCCCAATTTGCTGCCATCAATCCGCCATCCCCTTTTCTATGGATCTGGAAATCAAAATTAAGTCCAGCACCTGGCTTCTATTTGTGAATCGACTCAAACACAAGATATATTCTGCGTAGAAGGAAAACAATTAGAAGAGGGTTATTGGTGGATATATTATGGGCTTGATCCTTATAATATTTAATAAATTAAATAAAACTATATGGTATGTAACATTAAGCGTTGTATGGTTTAATACCGTATGAGATTTTGACTGAACGTTTACTCAGCTTATTTGATTGGAAATTATCCATCTTAATTGAGAAGCTGAGAAAAAGACAAAGGAGTGCCACACGCGCGCGCACGCCGCCGCCGGGCCGGCAGGCGGACGTGGCCAGGTTTTGCCACTTAATCCACATAATCACGGGAGTTTCTTTCCTTTATGGTGGAGGCAAACTGATTGCGCCAGTTACCGTCTCCTGGATTCCTCCGCTACCTTTCTCCCTCCCCGTTGCAGCCATAAATCTGAAGCCCTCTGTCAGTCCAATTCTTTCGCTTCGCTTCCGAGAGACCACATCTCAGCCGCCCTTTGGGTTTCCCCGCGCCGTACCTCTGCGCGCACGGAGTGGTGGGAGAGCAGGTGCCTCCGGAACCCTCATCCGCCTGCGAACCTTGCACGGGGTGTGCGGCGGCCGTGGGCGTGGCGAGGCGATGCGAGGCAGGCGGGCGACGAGCGGGCGGGTGTGGCCAGGTTTTGCCACTTAATCCATATAATCACGGGAGTTTCTCTTCTTTATGATGGAGGCGAACTGATTGCGCCAGTTACCGTCTCTTCGTGTCTCCATCTCCTGAGTTCCTCCGCTGCCTTTCTCCCTCCCCATTGCAGCCATAAATCTGAAGTCCTCCGTCAGTCAAATTCTCCTGCTTCGCTTCCGAGAGACCACATCTCAGCCGCCCTTTCGGTTTCCCTATCCCATACCTCTGCGCGCACGGAGTGGCGGGAGAGTAGGTGCCTCCGGAACCCTCGTCCGCCTGTGAACCTTGCACGGGGTGTGCGGTGATTAGGTTTTTTGGGGAGCGATTTCACGACTGCTTGTCCGACATCTTCTTCCTGGTGATCGATCGCGGAACCCGTCTTCTTCCTGGTGACCGTTCGTGGGACTGCACTACGAACACCTTTCTGCATCGATCGTGGTCCACAACTTCGAGCAACGCACTATGTCAATTAGTGCGAATGGAGCCTCCGATGCCCTTGGCATGAGACCCTCCGCTGGGTACAATCTTATCTCTATGATTATCGCACTTTGCGTTCTTACTGTATCGATCTGTATGTCATACTTGCACGCTGTAGCGTTTGTTAGTGATATACACATGCACATATATGTCGTCACAAACCTGCGGATGTTTTATTTCTGGATTAAATTGACCATAAAATGCCTAATTATCTAACAATCCAAAAACCTAATGTTAGGCAATTTTCTGTCAGTGGTTTTGCTGCTGCTTTGAAGCCAAATAATTTTGATGACAAGAATTTTATGATATGGCGTGCCAAGATGGTATTGTGGTTGACTACTATGAACTGCTATCACGCCACACAGGGGAAGCCTGAACAATTTATTCCTGGGGAGGAGCAAAAGTTCTTGGCTGTCGATAACCTATTTCGAGGCGCCGTGATTAGTGCACTTCATCCTAAGTATGAGAAAAGCTACATATCTTGCACATCAGACAAAGGGTTATGGGATGCTTTTGAGGCAAAGTTTGAAGTTTCTTATGTTGGTAGTGAGCTGTATCTTATGGAGCAGATGTATGACTATAAAATGGATGAAAATCGTTCTATAGTGGAACAGGCTCATGAGATACAAACGTTAGCAAAGGAACTAGAACATTTTCCATGTTTGTTGCCCGACAAGTTTGTGGCCGACGGTATAATCGCTAAGCTGCCACCTTCTTGGAGGGATTTTGCTACTTCTCTAAAATACAAGAGACAAGAGTTTAGTGTGGCTGAACTTATTGGATTTCTTGATGTTGAGGAGAGGGCGAGAGCAACAGACAACCGTGGAAAAGGAGTTGAGTCTTCCACAGCCAATATGGTGCAGAAGAAAAACTCATTTGCATCCCGTAATGAAAAGAAGAAGAACATGCAAGAGAACAACAATATAAAGCCTAAGCAAACTACTCAGTTTAAGAAGAAAAATAATAAGAAAGGTGGACGTTGCTTTATTTGTGGGAGTGACGAGCATTGGGCAAGTGCGTGCCCAGACCACAAATATAAGCAAGAAAAAAAATCAACAAACGTGGTGATTAGCGAGACTGGAGGAGGAACATCTGGGTATGGTAATTCTTTACCTTTTGTTCTTTCAGTTTGTCTTTCACCTGAGTGATGGATGGACAACGGTACTAATATTCATGTGTGTGATGATGTTTCTTTGTTTACTTCCTATCAGGTCGGTAGGACTAGAGCCTTGCTGATGGGAAATGGTTCGTATGCGCGTGTTCTTGGTGCTGGTACGGTCGTTCTGAAGTTTACTTCGGGAAAGACGGTGCTATTAAAGAACGTGCAGCATGTACCCTCCATCAAGAAGAATTTTGTTAGCGGTTCTCAAATGTGTCACGATAGCTTTAAAATTGTGCTTGAGTCCAATAAGTGTGTTGTGTCGAGACATGGAACATTTGTTGGAAAAAAATATGATTGCGGAGGCTTGTTCCGCTTATCTTTGCATGATGATGTGTGTAATAAAGTAGTGAACAATGTTAATGTTTCGGATGAGTCGAATATATGGCATTCACGACTTTGTCACATTAATTTTGGCTATCTCACGCGGCTTGCAAATCTGAATTTAATGCCAAAATTTAACTTAGTCAAAGATTCTAAGTGTCAGGTGTGTGTGCAATCAAAGGCTGCTGAGGCGAGGAACTTTGCACCATTAGAACTCGTTCATTCTGATTTATGCGAAATGAATGACGAATTGACTAAAGACGGTAAACGATACTTCATGACATTTATAGATGATTGTACTAGATTTTGCTACGTGTATTTATTAAAAACTAAAGATGAAGCATTGCATTATTTTAAAGTCTATAAAGCTGAGGTAGAAAATCAACTTGAGAAGAAAATCAAGCATTTGCGGTCCGATCGCGGGGGAGAGTATTTCTCAAATGAATTTTCTGAGTTTTACGCGGTGCATGGAATTATTCATGAGAGAACGTCACCATACTCTCCACAGTCCAATTGGATTGCAGAGAGAAAGAACCATACTCTAACTAGTTTGGTTAATGTCATGTTAGAGACTGCGGGAGTATCTAAGGAATGGTGGGGTGATGTTATAT